CATTTTCTTTTAATTACCCAGTAGGGACATATTTCTATTACTTATTAGGACACTGAAAACCTTCAGTTGCTTTGTCAAAGTCTTCTTTACAGTGTGGAGGTGGCTTTGAATGTTCTGTGCAGGTGCTGCACTCCACAGAAACGGTTTTGTTCGACTCCACAGAAACACAGAGGCTCGCCAGAAAAAATGCCAAGGGAGAAAATGCTGAGCTGGAGCTGAATGAAAGCTTGTCACCTCCCTCACACTCAAAAAATCTCAGCTCTGTGTGTGTGATTTTCTGTGTTGTTCTCTTGGTCTCTGCTTGTGTTCCTCGTTCCTTTTCTTGTTATGTTTCTTTCATTCTCTGGCTCCTGCCTACCCCTTTATCCCTGGCTCTCCTTGTCTGTCTCCTCTCCCTGCCTCTCACTCTCATTCCCTGCACATTCATTCCTGTACGCTTGCCTGCTCACTAATGGCCGTGGCAGGTGCTCTCCCAGGTGCTTGAGCATAACAGCCTGGACCAAGCCTTTAAAAGCTCTGGCATCAGCACCTTAGCCCCCTCCCCTTCCTTCCGCCACTGAAAGACTGCAAAGCTGGCATCTACAAACTTGTCTGCCTCCACTCACACACACATGTAGAAGCAAACAAATTACATCTCTCTTGCTTGCACCCAGACTGTGTTGTTTTGCCTTCAGGTATGAGCCAGATTGGCCTAGGCTGCCTCTCTAATTTGGTGCTGCCATGGGTAGCCCAGTGTATCACACACTAACACATACAATATCTAATAGCTTGACAGAGGAGAGAGAAGTGGACACTAAAAGTGGGGGACTGATGATGATGATGGTGACAGCGGTGTGTGGTTACAGGCTGATAATGGCCCACTTGCAAAGCTAAGGTCAACCAGTCCAAACAACTCAATGGGAGAGCAGAGAATGCAGCATTGTTAGACCGAGAGCAGGCCGCCCTCTCCGGTTTACTTTTCAATCAATCAGCGAGTCATTTCTAAACAGCATCAGTTTGACTTTCACCTAGTCTCAATGGACGGCTTTTATTTTAAGGTAAAGCCAGTCATGCTTTGCATCCAACGGGGCTGGTTCCATTTCTAGAGGTCGCCTTGGTTCCTGAGTATAGCTGCTGCAGTTAACATTCATACTGACATTAAACATTAAACAAGGTAATATCTTTGACTTTAGGTAGTTTAAGCTGTGAGCGCACTGTTGCAAGATGACTGCCAAAAACAATGAACTTCACCTTGCTGTCTTTCCGAAAATGATTTTATCGTCTACATTTCAATGACATGCCAGGTAAAAGAAAAAGGTTCAAAACAAGTCAAACTGTAAATGTACATGTGATTCAGCTTTCAGAAAACCCCCACAGGTGGAAAGTCTAAAATATCAGTAATAGAAATATCAGTGGGTCGTTTAATGTTGCGGGTCAAATTGACCCATGAACATAACTGCTGAGCAGGCATCACCTGAGAAATGAACATAACAGGAGGGTTTCCTCTGAGCAGGTGATGCCTGCTCAGCAGTTATGTTCGTGGGTCAATTTGACCCGCAACATAACAGGAGGGTTAAACTCAAACTACATGGTGGCGTTTCAAAGTAAACTGAAATCATGAGTGGTTTGACTTCAAATCTTTGAATCAACACTATAGAATCAAAGCAGGTAGATGTTGGGTTTGCATTAGGGTTGATTAAAGCACAGCAGAGGTGCTGGTTGTGGAGACACTTGCAGAGCAGATGGAGATCTTACATAGAAGGTTAAATTGTCCAAGTGCATGGGACAGGTGTTGTAGAGAGTGGAGGCATGTCACATGTGAATGTGGTGGTGAAGCAGGACTGACTGCCTCCACTACCTTCTTGAGAAAATGGGACAGATAAAATAGCTCACTGATAGACTGTACTAGATTGCCTTACATTTTTTCCTAGGGGTGTAGTATTCACTACATGAGGAAACTGTGCTTTATCACCAAATATTCAAGCTGAAGTGAGTGTACTGAATCACCAGCGACAGAATCACCAGCTCCCCACGCTGATGACTGAAATCTCTAACGCTCAACTGTCAGTATATATCCTGGTTAAAGGTTTGCTGAAGGACCATAAAATCCACATTACAATCATGATGCAATAACTCTGTAACTCTGTGGCTGCTGAGCTACAGTATTAACCTTGTAGAAGGTGCTTGTAAATGTCTTGTTTTAAAGTGAATCAAACAAATCAAGCCAGAGTCAATGTACAAACAGTTCGAGGGTATGAGGACAACGATGAACAGTGCAGTTCTGATACTGAAACTGTTTTCATTTATATTTGAAAAACTAACAAAATATGAGCATAAATAAAAACACCAAGTTACAAAGTAAACAAATATACATCTTTGCACTGAATTTAACAAAAGGAACGATTGAAGTTATTCATAAATCATCTTTCTGTAACCATTACAGGTGATCACATGGAACCAGTCCACCCATCCTAACACTGTGCATTGTACATTCGTCCTGTGTGTGTGTGTGTGTGTGTGTGTGTGTGTGTGTGTGTGCTGACAACATTAGTTGGAAAAGGAAAACTGAGGGCGATGAGGGAAAGCAGAGACATTTCCACTCAAGTTTGGACTCAAACAAACAAACCCAGAGTGAAACCAGCCTTGGTCTGTGACAGGTGGTTTGGGTATTTAAGCAGCATATCACCGGTCCAGGAATCTAAACTCAATGCCTCAGAGAAACGAGCCTTTGATGCTGAAGCAGAGGCTCGAACTGGCAAGTGGGAGATTTGGGTTTGTTTTCCTTCTGGTTATACAACAAAAGAAAGGGAGTATTTTAGGATGCTGCCTTTCTCTGTGTCTTTGGACAGCTTTCGTTTACTGGCAAATGAGCACGGGGGTACAGACCTTCCTCTCTGCTTCACTGCACAGTGTGTATAACGTCCTCAGTGGTTCCAGCCTTGGCGTCACACCTCCACATTAGTTGGAGGGAAGAAGGAGCCACCTCATTTATCCCTATAGCTCACAGTAAACTGACGATGTGCGTGTGTGAGAGACAAATTTAGAGAGTTTGTCTGAGTGCACGTGTGTGAGCATTTGTGTACATTCACTGCATAAACGTGCATGCTGTCAGAAGGATGTGAAGAGAGCAGATGCCAAAGAGAACAGCTTCATGGGGCCGAGGAAAACAACACAGCCAGGGTGAAAACAAATGAAAAGCCTCATAAGTCAACAGCTAGGACATGTAGACAAAGGGCACATTGATATCAGCAGTGACACACGGGTGGCAGCTGTACACATCATGTCATTCAGCTGTGGCTGCTGTGAAAGGGGACTTTGTCAGACAGAGTTGAGTCTGGTGATGTGCCTTCATCCTGTGGGGAAATGTAGTGTAAAATAAAACAGCTTGTTGTCCCTGAAACAATCATGTAAGCAATGCTGCTAATGTAATTCCTAACCTACTCTTGGTTACTTTAAAATGATTCAGATAATCGAAAACAGGCTACAAAGCCTGCGGTTCAATCAGGATGCAATTCTGTTTTCTACCATTAAACAAAGTTGAAACTGCAGTGTGGGTGAATACTGGTGGTTTGACACGGTTTAACACGGTTTAACCAGTTTAATACACAGTCTGCGTGTCTGCCAACGGTTTGTTAAGTGTTGTTTTAGAAAGAAAAAGACAGAGACAATGTTCTCCATGATGCACTGGAACAAGTTTCCTCTCATGTTGCACTGGAATCAGCTGAAACCAGCACTTGCGTGAAGGGTGGACAATCAGTCCCATAGCATTTGGTATGGTTTGTGAAAATGTATACAATCACAAAAGTACACGAGATTTGTAGTTAATGGGCTAAAACACACAGAACCACACTGTGGTGGTTTGACCTCCACCAGCAACAGTCAATTCTGCTCTGCACTGAGACTGGGGGTTAAAGAGTTAAAGGAAATGACATTAACTGTGACAGAATCAGAATATGTGATTGCATTTGCCTTACAGCAGTGGAAAACTTTCAAAAACTAAATACACTACAGTCATTTCCAAGCATGGAAGCTGTGCACTGCACTCTGGGTTATATGAAGTCTGCTTTTCTTTACTCAGTGACAGAGATATACCAGTTTAAATTACACAGTCCCACAGAGAGTCCGGGTCGTGTCGTTTGTGATGCCTGATGAAACCATACTGCAACCCCGTGCCCCAGAGCTAACACTCCTGGCTATGCTACTCTACTGCACAGTGCTCACAATACCACAGGCCTTTCAACAAAACACACACATTACACACACCTGCAGAGGAAACACATGAATACATACACAGAACGCACTCATACAACTTACAGTAATTAAATTTAAAAGATATTTGTTTACTCGTACCTCAACATATTCACTCCTCTCCTACACCGTAACTGGAAATAAACATCCCCGTCATCGATTTTTAGTAGTTTTGTTTGTACATTCATAGCACTTTGGCATAAATAGAAGAAAAACTCATTGTTCAATGGTTTTCACCTACAGAGACTGAAAACAAAAGGGAAACTGTGTCATATCACTTCCCTCCAATCGCAAGGTAGAGTGTTTTTCAACAGGCGAAGCAGAAGTGCAGAAAGCAGTTGTACAGTTTGAATGAAACACAACAATGCTTCAGTAGCTCACAACACACAGACAGTCGGACCAAAGCCCAGCTTATGGCTGCTTGTGACGATTCTCTTTCAAAGTCACCGCAGACGATGACCACCACAAACATGACCATAGACGCCGTAGAACCAGTCAGACACAGTGAGACTGACGAAGGGACGCCCTGAAAAGTACATCAACAAACTGTTCCATTATGTTTATTTTTATTACCTTATTTAAAGGACTATTACCATGTAATCAAGCAATTAGTAAAACAACAACTATAAAAATCTGAAAATAAGCTCAGGTCAATAAACCCTGGTTTCATGGGAAAGAAGAGATGTATTTCCAAAAAGTACCAACTTCAAACTGACATGAAAACAAAGGCTCAGCAAAGAGAAACACAGGAGTGAATACATGAGTCTGCCTACCTGGATCAGTGACATGTTACCAAGGTCCAGTCTGAAAAGGTAGTTTCTGGATTGGAGAGACAGGAAAGGGGGACATATGAGAGTGTGCACACTGACCTTATGTAGAAAAGATGAGTTCACTAAAGCAAATAGATGAGCAGAAAAGAACAGGCCAATTCAGCTGCTGTCCACCTAAAGTAAGGCCAATTGAAGGTCTTTGTTTTAGCTGTATTTACAAACTGTTACTTGGATGGCATGAGGTCAAAACTGTCAAAACCTGAACTCATGTCAGTTCATGAGAACACACACACACACACTTCTTCCAAACTCATCCCTTCTGCCAAATCTGAGGCTTGACTCGATCCAACAACGCCTCAGCAGGACACTTAAGAAGCATCATTATCCAAAGTCCACACTGAGTGAGTGAGTCACAAACGGTATCACATGCTCACTAATGTGCTCTGAGGGCTGAAAAGCTGAGCAGATTTACTGTTTCTTACCTGGCACCCACAATAAGCTCATTCCTAGTCAGGTCAAGGGTGAGCTGAGAGTAGTCTCTCACGCCGGGGTGGGAGAAGGTAGAAATCCACGGACTGAGTGCTGAAGAGAGGGGAAACACAAAAATAGAGATGTTACTAAAAGCTAAACTGTCATAGTTCAAGGGATAAAAGCAGACATTTACACACAACACTCAAATAACACATTATAATCGACTTATGTGCAGAGAAGTCTTTTCCCTTTGGTATTTCATGTAGGTGTATGTTTATGTGGTAACTAATGAAAAAGATTGAATAAATTCAATATCTTTGGTTCATTGATCAGACTAAACAAGCAAACTGGAGACGTAACTCCTTTTTTGACACTATTGACTAAATGGTTGATTAATCAAAATAAAATTTCAGATATACTGTAATAAATGCTAATAATAAAACCATTTGCTTCTTCTGTGTTGGTACAAAGTGCAGTGAACAACGCAGGGAAAGCTTCCTTCGCTAGAATGGAGTCTCCTGCAGAGAGGGACACAGCTGTGCAGACACAATCCTGACACAGTCTGACATTAGGGCAAATACAGCTCTGTGTGATGTACGGTACGAGGATGAAACCTCAGCGTGGTTTGAAACTGACAAATCAAAGTTTCAAAGCAGTGGAGGAGAGGTGCTGTTTGGCAGGTTTTTAATGTCATAGTGTAAACAGCGGGGAAGGGGCATTCAAAGTGCAGATTCCACCACATGGGAGGTTTGTGCAACACACAAGGATGTACCGTTGTTTCCATGTTGTACACAGTATCAAAGCAAAAACGTTGTGTTAAATAGCTTCTCACTATTCCCACCAAACCTTTGAGAAGTGGTTGCTGAGGGGCATCCCATGATGCAGAGCTCCTCTCTTCTTAACTTTATTTTTATATGCCACCATTACACATTACTAACTGTGTGTCTCCTCTCTCCCGTAGTGTGTCCTCTCTC